GGTGGACTTCAACTCCCAGAATTCCCCAGCCAGCTTTGCTGGCTGGGGAATTCTGGGAGTTGAAGTCCACCAGGCTTAAAGTTGCCAAGGTTGGAGACCCCTGTTGTAGGCTGTCTGTGTCCCAGGCTTGGTTGAAGCTTGGAGGGTGATGATATAATGAAGAGGCTTGTGCTCTGAAAGGGTGTTGGGCAATTCCTATTGTGTCTTAATGGCTTTGTCCTGGTTTGGATCTTGAATGAGAGCTAATCCACCCTAGAGCTGAAGGCCTTTTGTTTTACAGATAGGATGGCCCAGTCTTTCTGGGGCTATTAAGAAAGGTGGGGGCTGCTTTCCAAGAGCATGTTTCTCCTTTTCTCATCCAGGGAAATATAATAGTCTGCCTTTTTAAATATTTCCTAGAATATTTCATTCTCCTAGGAGAGGGATGGGTGCTAACTTTCTTCATTACCTAATTTGGGTAATGAAACATCTGCAAGAAAACAAGCATGCTCAGAGAGCACCAAGGACCCCTCCTGTCAACCCTGAGCTACAATATTCTCCTTTATTAGTAACACTTCCACAAAAGCCTCTCGGTATTGCCTGGTGTTAGAGGTATCGGACAAAAATACAGATCGAGTTTACTTTATGGAGTTTGTTTTACTTTTTTGGTGGCGTTTATTCGTTCTGGGTTAATGAAAGTTTTTGCCAGAAAAATATTACGATCCACCCTTGAACAACCAGTAAAAATAATAGCATGTTTGGATTTTTTTTAAAGAAGATGGAATTTAGTGTCTATACATTCACAGCAATACAGGGCAAACCCATTTGCAGGTTTTTTGTTTTTTTTGCAATCTGTGTGATTCTTACAAATCTTTTCTGATTCAAAATATGAAAAAGAGTATGTGCTACTTAATAAAGGAAATCCACAGAATGCTTTTAGGCTGAACTTAACATAGGCATTTGCTATCCTGATCCATTTATCTCATTTTCATAAACAGGAAACATATTTGCTGACTTCTACTTGGAGAGAAAGCCACAGCTTCTCTGCAAAACATGAAATCCCAAACATTACAAAATTGCTGAAATCCAAAGTTGGCCTAGAGAGTCATAAGTGCACACACTCATATTGATAGGCACGTGCTGTTAATATTCATTAAATTGCTCATTGGGTGCTTAAGAGGAAATAAAACTAAGAATCATAGAATATCAGGGTTGAAAGGGACCTTGAAGGTCTTCTAGTCCAACCCCCTGCTCAAGCAGGAGACCCTATATACCATTTCAGACAGGTGGCTGTCCAGTCTTAAAAACCTCCAGTGATGGAGCACCCACAACTTCTGAAGGCAAGCTGTTCCATTGTTTAATTGGTCACACTGTAAAGAATTTCCTCCTTAGTTCTAGGTTGCTTCTCTCCTTGATTAGTTTCCACCCATTGCTTCTTGTCCTCCCCTCAGGTGCTTTGGAGAATAGCTTGACTCCCTCTTCTTTGGGGCAGCCCCTCAGATATTGGAACAATGCTATCATGTCACCCCTGGTCCTTCTTTTCATCAGATTAATTAGTCATACCCAATTCTTGCAACCATTCTTCACATGTTTTAGCTTCCAGGCTCCTAATCATCTTTGTTGTTCTTCTGCATAAATATATGAATAAAGAACCTGCTTATATATATTTGTTTTCTGAGGTTTTTGCGGGTATTTGTATGTGGATCTTTGGTTATTCAGGTTTTCTCCCACGTAAAATTGGAAGTATCTAGGCGACATTTCGATGAAGTCTCATTCATCATCTTCAGGCTTGTGTCTTCGGCTTTGTGCTTCTCGGAGTACTTTGTGCTTTACTCCGTATTAATAGTATTTATTTATATCCCACTTTTATTATTTTTTATAAATAACTCAAGGCAGCAAACATATTTTATACTCATCCTATTTTCTCTACAACAACAACCCTCCAAGGTATGTTAGTCTGAGAGAGAATGACTGGCCCAAAGTCACCCAGCTGACTTTCATGCATAAGGCAAAACTAGAATTCACAATCTCCTAGTCTCTAGGCCGGGATGGGTAACTATGGCAACTTTATGACTTGTGGACTTCAACTCCTCATTGGCTGGCTGAGGAATTCTGGGAGTTGAAGTCCACAAGTCATCAAGGTGCCATAATTGTGCACCCCTGCTCTGGGCCAACACCTTGACTATTTGTTATTTTTAAAGTCAGCTACAAAGGTAGCTTTTCATCCCAACAATATCGATTGGCTCAGAGAGCCTGTCATATAACCAAGGAACATGCAGACACACTGAAGTCCGCCTCCTATTTTGTCTTGCTCTGATTTAACATGATGCTGAAAGAGATCCCCGCCTTTTGGTTACCGTAAAAATGAATTAAATTATCTTTTTGTTTTTGATAGACCAATGGCATTGTGGCACTGATCATTATCCTCATTTTGTTATCCTTGCTGGGGATTGCTGCCCTGTGGTGGTTTTGGCCGCTGTGTTGCAAAGTGGTAAGTCATTTTTTCCCTCTCTATGGCCGGCTGGGGAATTCTGGGAGTAGTCGTGGTAGGCTACCGGTTTGGCCCGGTTCGAGTGAGTAAAAATCACTACCAGTTTGGCCCAACCAGTAGTAAAAAAAAGCCTGTGATCCGCTGATAGGAGGGGAAAAAAGCCTCAGACAATCAACTGAGAGGATAAAGGACTGAAAAGTGCATGGGAGGGTCTCTCTTAGTGGGGAGGGTCTCTCTTAGCTTTTTGTTTCTTCATCCTCTCAACTGATTGGCTTGTTTGGTGCACGTGCATTAGGGGCGCATGCGCCCGCACGTGCAAACCGGTAGTGACTAAAGTAGGATCCCACGACTGTCTGGGAATTGAAGTCCAGACATCTTCAAGTGGCCAAGGTTGAGAAGCATGGATCCTGTAGTCTTCGCTCCGTTTTGGGCGAGCAGCACAGCCAATGTAGTCTTATCGATTTGCTCATAATCAGATTGAGAAAGTTGAAAACTCCGACGGGACTGACCGAGGCATCTTTTCTTGCAAATTGAATGCGAATATAAATATTAGATTGGAATTACTCAGTGCTTGCCGCTAGGGCCTCAACTGCACACTCATCAACAAGACCTATTAATTGGTTGACTTCTGGAGTTTATACTCCCCCCCCCAAACCCTTCAGGGCTTATTAGCATTCCCTTGAATTCACCGCCAAACTAATTTAAAAATGTAAACATGGAACTGATGTTAATATCTGGATAAATCCCCCTTTACTTTTAAAAGCCCGTTATTAACCTTAAGAGGGTGCTATGAGAAAACAGCGCTGAGTTCTGAAATACCAACTTTATCTCCAAGCGTAGTCTTTGAGATAGCTGTAGTTAACCCAACATAAGACACCACTGTTTTGTTGCGGTGATAGTAGGTATCCTGGTTACAGGTAGTCCTTGACTTACAACTCTTCGTTTAATGACCGTTCAGAGTCATGACAGCCTCAAAAAAAGGGAACGATGACTGTTTTTCACACTTACGACTGTTGCAGAATCCCCATGGTCACATGATTAGAATTCGGATGCTTGGCAACTGGCTCCTATTTATGACGGTTGCAGCATCCCGGAATCATGGGATCTCCTTTTTTGTGGCAAAATCAAGGGGGAAGCCAGATTCACTTAACAGCCGTGAACAACTGCAGTGATTCACTTAACAACTATGCCAAGAAAGATTGTAAAATGGGGCAAAATTAACAACAACTGCCTTGTTTAGCAGTGGAAAGTGTGGTCCTACTTCTTGACTCTTGACGAAAGTATCTTTTCTTTTATGTACACTGAGAGCTTATGTTCCAAAGACAAATTCCTTGTGTGCCCAATCACACTTGGCCAATAAAGAATTCTATTCTTCTCTATTCTTCTCTTCTCTTCTCTTCTCTTCTCTTCTCTTCTCTTCTCTTCTCTTCTCTTCTCTTCTCTTCTCTTCTCTTCTCTTCTCTTCTCTTCTCTTCTCTCCTCTCCTCTCCTCTCCTCTCTCCTCTCCTCTCCTCTCCTCTCCTCTCCTCTCCTCTCCTATTCTAGTCTACGCTACTCTACTCTACTCTACTCTACTCTACTCTACTCTACTCTACTCTACTCTACTCTACTCTATTCTCTCCTAGTCTAGTCTATTCTTTTTCTTTTCTATTCTCTCCTAGTCTATTTTTTTCCTTTCTATTCTATTCTATTCTATTCTATTCTATTCTATTCTATTCTATTCTATTATTCTATTCTCTCCTCTTCTCCTCTCCTCTCCTCTCCTCTCCTCTCCTCTATTCTTTTCTATTCTCTCCTAGTCTATTCCTTTCTATTCTATTCTATTCTATTCCATTCCATTCCATTCCATTCCATTCCATTCCATTCCATTCCATTCCATTCCATTCTATTCTATTCTATTCTATTCTATTCTATTCTATTCTATTCTATTCTATTCTATTGTTCTAACTTTGATTCCTGCAGGGTTTTTCCCTCCCCCATATTTCGGTCTGCAGAACGGCATAAGCCGGCCTTCTTTTTCAACAACTGGCATCATGGCAGTTAAAAGCCCCAATTTTTACCATCTTTATTAAGCTTGCTCCCGCTTGGGTCAATACTGCAGACAGGAACTGAACAAAATTGCACCGAAGGAAGGAATTTCCCTCCCTCCTCCCTCCTGACCATTCAGTCTTCCTTGTTGGCAGCAACCAGTTGGCACCTAGAGTGTGCCCAATGATTTGGGGCACCCTGTTTTAATTGTTGGCAGGAGCCAGTTGGTGGTTTTTTAATTAATTAATTAATTTATTTTTGACTTGATCTGCAGTCTGTGCACATTGGCAGGTTGCGGAGTGGCCTTTCCCTTTCCTTTCTCCTTTGTCAAAAAGAGTTGGCCGTTGACAGTGTGTTCGCTGCTTCATGAACGTTGGCGAACATCTGACTGAATCAAGCTGGCTTTGGGCTCTGGCACTGATATTTTGTAATGCCCGCCCACCTTCGAGCATTGAAGATGTGTTAAGGGACAGTTGCCTGAAGCTACCAATATATTTAAAATATTGGAAAATAAAAACGAACTCAATATCTTTACCTATCTCTCTGCCTGCCTAACTACCTACCTACTTACGTATCTCTCCTTTTGTCCGTCCGTCTGTTTAATTATCTATTAAATGGAAGCAAACCGGCTGGGTTCTAAACCGAAGCCTTTAATTCCCTCCTCCCCCTTGTTTGGCTAAATAAACACCCCGGCAGCCTGTTTCTTGACAATGATAATAATACCAAACGCTAAAAAATTGGAGAAGACTCAAACTTTGCATATGGTAAACAAAATGGAGATTTAGTCTCCTGGGCTCTTGAGATGGGTGTTTAAGGAATGTGAATGAAATAGAAATAGTTGACATCTTGGCAATATTATGTCTTTTAACATGTGCAAGTTCTCAGGAATGGAGGAGTTACAGACGCTCTTCCATTCCCTTCCTGCCCACCCACCCCCTCCCTCCGGAAAATAAGGATGGCTTCCTGAGTTGGGTTTTGAAAGAAATGATGGATTTAAAGTAATTTAAGGGGGCCCCCTGCTTTCAGGAGGAGTCCAGCCAACTGTTACATAAAGTTGATTTAATTAAAAGTACTTTGGCAGGGGGAGGTCTTAGCCATGCTTGTTTCTTTTAGGCAAGTATTAAGTGTGGTGCCCAATGTGGAAAATAAAAGAAAATTCTATAACTTTAGTTTATATAGATTAAGCCCGATCCGTATTGCCCATTAAAAAATGATTAGCCCAGGGCTGTGATGGCACAAAAGCAACAAAGTCACAAAAGTAGGTAAAGTACCTTTAATTCCTCCAACTTGGTCCCCAATGTCCAGTTATCATCAGCTGGAGGAAAAAACTCTCCCAAGAACAGTTTTTAAAAGGAAGAAATTTAGTCTGAATCAAAAGTACATATAAATTATAAATAAAAACCAACACAAACCACGCTGCAGCAATTAACGAGACAGGGCAGGATAAGGAATTGCAGAACTCAAAAGATAGAATAGAATTCTTTATTGGCCAAGTGTGATTGGACACACAAGGAATTTGTCTTGGTGCAAATGCTCTCAGTGTACATAAAAGAAAAGATACATTCGTCAAGAGTCAAGAATCATCAGGTCCAACACTTAATGATAGTCATAGGGTACAATAAGCAATCAAATCATACTAGGAAACAGTCAATAAAAATCGTAAGGATACAAGTGACAAAGTTATAACGAAACACATACAGTTGGGAGGACACCAGAACCCAGATAGAACTTGACAAACAAAGATAATGCACACTTTGCTTCCAGCAAGGTGCTGTGCGCAAACACCCTCTTTATCCTGTTTTCCCAGCTGCAGCTAATGAAGGGAATCAGGGCCTTTTTCTCCCCCGTAACCCACATTGCTCCCTTATCTGTTCCTCCCTGCGTACCCTAGGATGCAGAGGGAGTTGGCCTGGTTCTTCCTCTGAATGCCCAGCCGGACTGTGCCCTTCCCCAGTTTCCTCCCCAGCCACCAGAGACACACTGACACTCCCTGTCAGCTGTTCGACCTCCCCCTCGGAATCAGATTCCAACAGGGGCATGACAAGGGCCCTGCAATAAAGAAAATCTTGAGATTTACTACAATTAACATTTACGAAGAAGAAGCATGGCTCCCAATTGGAAATTTGACCTTTTCATCTGGAAGGCGCCATTATAGATAGCGCTAGACTTACAACCATTCGTTTAATGACCGTTCGAAGTTAAGAGTGGCCCCGAAAAAAGCGACTTAGGACCATTTTTCACACAGCCATTGCGGCATCCCAAAGGTCACGTGGTCATAGTTCAGCCACCTGGTGACTGCCTGTGTTTGCAGCCCATGGGTGATGACCGCATTCTTTTTAAATAAAACAAGTTAAGAGCCAAACTCATTAGCAATTTGAGATTTGATTAGCTGTATTTCTGCAGTCTTTTGAAAAGCTTTAAAGAGCTGGACGTGTTCCCAGGGAGGAAATCATTAGATTAACTGAAGTCTTTGTGGTGTTCATAGTTTATTTGAGGATTATTTAATTCCCCCCCAAAAAAATTTTTTATTGATTTTTTTATTGATTATATTTCTTAGTGCTTAATAAACATCGTGTTGTCTGGTTATTTAATTTGCTTGACAATTCCGATTCTACAGCATTCTTAATTCTCACCCCTTTTTTCCAACCCCTGTTAAAATAGATTTCATGTTTGATAGTATTCTGTGTCTTCTTTCTGCTTTTTCAAAGTCAATCTTTCCATTTCTGCACAGTCTGGTATCTTGTTAATTATTTCTTCATCTCGCAGTGTTTCTTTGTTTTTCCAATATTGTGCGAATATAATCCTCACTGCAGTTACAGCATGTCATATTAAATACATTCTTTTCTTATCTCATTTTTTTGGTATTATACCTAATAAAAAACAGTTCAGGTTTAAAATCTACATGATTCGTGGGTGGTTGTTTTTTTTTAATTGATGGTCATTATAGATTTTATATCTTGGTTGTTTTCTGTTGGGGTTTTATCTGTCCAGAGTCACTGGTGAGACACAAATCAAATTAAAGATAACTAAGCATCTTTAACAATCATTCCAACAGTTGTTTTGCCAATCCATAACAGTCATGGAGATGAGGTTTCTGTTACCTCAACCATGGCTAGTTGGTTATGGAGATAACTAACGGAGAAGTATCACAATCAGAATGACTTGCTACAGTGTGCTTTTAATGAATCTTTGCCATTATGTCCTTTATCATCTAATTTGTCCCCTTCATCCAAAGGTTATTAAGGATCCACCTCGACCTCCGCCTTCAGTGCCAATAGAGGTAAGCTTCCAACCTTCTCCAATGGCTTGCTGTTTACAAAACGAGATCACCATGTTGCCAATGACTTAGAACCAGTGGTGGGTTTCCAAATTTTTCTCTACTGGTTCTGAGAGAGCGCTTCACAGGGCTCAAGGACCGCCCTCTGTGTCAATGCTGGTGAGCTGTGCTATTTTTTACCTCAGCTGAGGCGCGGCAATCCACTCTGCCGCGCGAATCAGCTGAGCTAAAAAACAAGGGGCTATAGGAATGGTAATGTCAGGGGTGGGGATGGGGCAGCCAGAGGTGGTATTTATTTGTTGGTTGTCTGAACTAGTCAAAATTTATGCTACCAGTACACCAGAACCGGTCCAAACTGGCTGAATCCCACTTCTGCTGAGAACTGCAAGTTAAGGTTGACACCATTTGATTTATTTATCTCATGAAGGATCCCTTTGCTTCTTCCATCATGCAGTAGTTGGCCATATAAATAGAAGATATATTTGAAGATGCATAGGATGGAACACTAGAAGGAGGAAACCAGAAATAACTTGAAAATCTTCAAACAATCATTTTGATTTGTTTTTCCTTATCTCTGGACCAGAGGATTAAGTGGTTTTTTTTTCCATATTAGAAAAGGAAGGCTGATCAGATTAGATTAACAGAGTTGCAGGTCATCTAGCCCAAACCCCTGCCGAAGCAGGAAACCCTACACCATTTCTGACAAATGGCAGTCCAATCTCTTCTTGAAAGCTTCCAGGGATGAAGCTCCCACAACTTCTGAAGGCACCTTCTGTTCCATGGGTTGATTGTTCTCACTGTCAGAAAATGTATCCTTATTTCCAGGTTGGATCTCTCCTTGTTCAGTTTTCATCCATTGTTCCTTCTCTGGCCTTCAGATGCCTTGGAGAATAAGTGGGCCCCCTCCTCTCTGTGGCAGTCCCTCAAATATTGGAACACTGCTATCACGTCTCCCTTGGTCCTAGGTGTGATCAGTCCTAGGTGTGATTGATAGTTGCAGCCTGCTGTTCACCACAGTGTATATATCTGCCTTTAGAGGATGTCTGAAGTTCATGTTTAACACAGGCCAGGTAGTTGTGGGTCCAAAAACAGACATGTGGAATCCTTTGACCATATGACAGGGTGAACTCCTGTCCTGCCTCAGCTCCTGCCTACCTAGCAGTTCGGAAGCATGTAAATGCAAGTAGATAAATAGGTACCACTTTGGTGAGAAGATAACAGCGTTCTGTGCACTTTTGGTGGATAGTCATGCTGGCCCCATGTCCATGGAAGTGTCTTCAGGTAACGCTGGCTCTCTCAACTAAGAAATGGGGATGAGCAGCGCCCCCTAGAGTTGGATACAGCTAGACAGCGGAAAGCGTTTACCTTTTTGGATGTCTTGTGCCCATACTAAACCTTGCTGGGAATTTTTTCTCATGAGACGGGAATTCTGTAACCATACTGAGGCTAACTCTTTAAAGAAATTATTTGTTCTCTTTTGTTATAGTGAGGAACTGCAGTAGTAAACTCCTGGCCAAACATGAGAACACATACATGTGTAGGAACATTTATGCACACACATACACAGAGTGTGCAGATCCACAGAGGCAGGTCCAGATAATGAGACAGCTTCTCCACTCTCTACAGCTGTGTCTCAATATTAGGAAACTGTACTGTATCAGTGTGAAGGTTAAATGGAGGCTTAAGCCTTAGAATTTAGAATATGGAAGATGGTTTCAAAGCTTGCTAATTACTGCATTTTGTTTCATGACCTAATTTTACTTGCTTGGAATACTTCAGAAGGGTGTTTTTATGTTTTCACTATAGAAGAAAGAAATATTCTTTCTGGTTCTAAAGGAACTTTGTCTCATGAATTTTCCTCAGTATAGTCCTTAATTATTCCATAGACAGATGCAAGTGGAAGCAAAGCCCATTATGTCCCATAGTAAGCTTCTAGTAGGAAAGAAACAGCCTCTTGTGTGACTTACTTATGAGCTACTCAGGAGCTACCCTGCCTTTCAGTAATCAGTTCAACTGGAAACTGGAAAGAGGGGTTTGGTTAGACTTATTAAGATGACAGGGTTAGGACCTTCAGTGAAATATACTTTAACAGATGAAAGAAATTCTGGAGAAAGAAGTATCTGTTGTCCCCCAGAATCTGGTAAATTAAAAAAATACATCTGTCTGTCTGTCTGTCTGTCTGTCTATGTATCTATCTATCATCTAATCTCTACCAACTATCTTTCTCTCTGTCCCTCTGTTTTGTTTTCTACCTACCTACCTACCTACCTGTCATCTAATTTCTACCAACTATCTTTCTCTCTGTCCCTCTGTTTTGTTATCTATCTATCTATCTGTCTGTCTGTCTGTCTGTCTGTCTGTCCATCCATCCATCCATCCATCCATCCATCCATCCATCCATCTATTTATCATCTATCTACCTTATCTATTTGTAAAATTTATTAGCTGCCCCAATAAATTCTGGGCAGTTTACAATCTTCAAAAGATAAAAACTATACAAAAGTCTAAATGAAAGACCTAAATAAAATACCGTAAAGATCCAATTACTGAGCCCCAATTAAAAGATGGGGGAGGGAGGGAGTAGACTGAGAAGAAGGGGAGGTGGGATCTGCTATTAATCCATCCATCACTCCCCATGTGAACCCCGCTCATTGGAGCTCCATGCCAACTGGTAGAGCCAGGTCTTGCAGAAGATCAGGAGGGTGGGAGCCCACCTTCCTGGGGGCGGGGTGGAGGTGGGGAGATGTTCTGAAAGACAGGCCCAAGGGCAGAGAAGACTCTTCTCCTGCACCCTGCCAACCAGAATACCCTGGCCGATGGGGCCCACAGCATGCCTCCCTCCTACATCATTGCAGGCATAATTTAAATGGGTTGTACAATGATGTCATCCTGATGACATCATTTGCACCATGACATCATCGTGCCAGTGGAATGTATTCCTAGTAGAGTTTAGTTTGTTGCATGTGAAGCCTGTTTCCTGGAGGTCCAGAAAAATCAATATTTCAATGCGTACACATACAACACACACACACACACACACACACACACACACACACAAAGACAGACACAGGGTTTATCAAATAGAACACTGAAGGAAAAATACAGATGTTCAGGGTCTGTATTTTAGCCACAGGTGGGGTGGGTAAGAATGAAACAGAATGGTATTTTCTGCTTTCTGAGCCCTAATGTTTATTAGCTCTATCCTTCTGTTTTTTTCTTTTCTTTCTTTTGCACCCTGATTATATTGAACCCCTGATTCTTTGGGAGGCTTCATAAAATTGTGTAATCATAGCCATCAACTTTAGCTGGATATCCAAATGGGTTAGCTATCAGTAAAAGGGCAGGGGAGTTAGTTAAAGCACAACATTCCCTTTTATAGGGCACACTATGTTAAGCTAGATTGGTTATCCCCCAAAGTGCACGAGCGAAGAGTTGCTGTGTGGCAACTCAACAGGAATTGGATTGTAATAAGCACTTCAAAATACATTCCGCTGCAAATTGATTTTCCTTGTGCATAACCAGAATGCTCAGTTTATGCGCTCTGTGGGTGAGGATGCCAGCAAGCGTGTATGTAAAATTCGCAGAATATCTTACTCCACCCAACAGTATTGTAAATGTGGTAATAATCTTCGGATCAGGCTGCATTAAATGCCTTGCGCATCTGTATTTTTTGCTTCGGTGCTCTACTTGATAAACTCCCAGTTAGTTCAGCGTTTTGTTTTTGGACGTTCAGACCAGTGGTGGTATTCTATCGGTTCGGCCCGGTTCGCACAAACCGGTAGTAAAAAATGTTACCGTTCTGCCGAACCGGCTTTTCTTTCTTTCTTTTCCTCCCAATGATCAGCTGTGCTGGGATTCTCCTCGCTCTCCCAGGAGGCCAAAAAAAATGGAGCATGGGGGGTGGAGGGGAAACTGCAAAAAAGAAGAAGCCATGCCTACCCAGTCACATGGCCATGCCCACCTAGCCACGCCCACGGAACCGGTAGTAAAAATATTTGCATCCTACCCCTGGTCCAGACGTCCTAAAAGGGATGTTAGGACACCCTTGCACTTCAGGGTGATCCTATAAGAATAGTGATAATTCCTTTTTCCTTGGAAATGCAGAGAATCAATCCACTGCACTTCTTTAGAGGAAATTATAACTGCCATCAACCAAGGTAAACCTGGGTTATTTTCCTGATAGGTTGATGCTGCAGCTGCAATCCTAGAATGACTGCTGACCATATTGGCAGGGGAAAATGGGAGCTGTAGTGCCTTTGGGACAAGGCTGCAATAGGGAGTGTTTGAATACGTATCCCAGTTCTTTTCCCCAGTACATTTTCTTTAAAAACCAGCTGGATATCCAAACAAGGATTGGAAAAGAAGTTGGCTTGCTGGGAGCTCTTCATTTCAAGCAAGGAGGGTCAGAAGATCAGCAGGTCTCCCCCCTTCTTTCTGGCCACCCCAGAGGAGACTATTGGATTGCAATTTGTCCATCTCATCATGCTCGGATTTGAATTGATAGAAGAGAATATTTGCAGCTCAGGATTGAATTGTGGGATCTTGGGTGCTCTCTGAGCTTGATCCCACAAGATCCCACAATTCAATCCTGAGCTGCAAATATTCTCTTGCAGATGTTTCATTACCAAACTAGGTAACATCATCAATGCTGATAATGTTACTTAGTTTGGGTAATGAAGCACCTTGCAAGAAAACCGCCAGGTTCAGAGAGCACCCAGGACCCTACAGGTATGAGTAGGCTCCGTGATGCATGCATAAACTGAAACATGAAGCATATTTTGCTGGGATTGCATCCTGAAAGGCTGGATCAGAAGAATAGGCAGTAGGTACATCTATCCACAGTAAGCAGATATTGCATGTTTTAGGGCATGAAGAAGCTTTAATTTTACATCACCTTGCTAGGAAGTATTTATTTATTATTACTTATTGTAATTTGATTGCTGTCCCATTTTGCCATATTACTTCAGAAAAAGTTGTTTGTCTCCCAATGATATCTGTGGGGAGGAGGGCCAGTTTGGTCTGCTGGTTTAGGCACCAGGCCAGAAAGCAGGAGATCATGGGTTCAGGTTCTGCCTTAGCCATGAAAACCAACTGGTTGACTTTGGGCTGATCACCATGAGATGGTGAGTTCTAGTCCCACCTTAGCCATGAAAACCAATTGGTTGACTTTGGGCCAATCACCTGGAGATGGTGAGTACTAGCCCTGTCTTAACCATGAAAGCCAACTGATTGACTTTGGGCCAATCACCTGGAGATGGTGAGTTCTAGCCCTTCCTTAGCCATGAAAGCCAACTGGTTGACTTTGGGCCAATCACCAGGAAATGGTGAGTTCTGGTTCCTCCTTAGCCATAAAAGCCAACTGGTTGACTTTGGGCCAATCACCAGGAGAGAGTGAGTTCTGGTCCCTCCTTAACTATAAAAGCCAACTGGTTGACTTTGGGTCAATCATTCTCTCTCATCCCAACCATCCCAACCTTGTTTTGGAGAAAAGAGGAAGAGGAAGATTTTGTTGGATAGGTTTGCCAGCTTGAGTTATTTGTAAAAAATAATACAGGGAGAATACACATAAAGAAATTAGAGAAGGTCAGATTGATGGAAGCAGTGTTACACCCTTACAAGCCTTCCCTCTGTTGTGCATGCATTGTACATCAAACAAACGCTCCAAGAGGTGAAGTTTGTGTTGCAGGCTATTGCATTCACCATTTTGACAAAAGGGGGGGGGGGACAGTGTCTGCAGCTGCATCACTGGTGTCACCTAGTGCAGTGGTCGCTAACCAGTGGACCGGGGACCACTGGTGGTCCACGAGAAAATTTTGGTGGTCCGCAGAGAAATGTCACCCCCCAAAGCACCTTCCAAAGCAATTAATCTAGGCTGCGTGGGAACACAAGGCTGTGCCGCCCACATGGCCCGTAGGAACACAAGGCTTGCATCACTTGCACTGTGAACAACACGAGGTAGTGAGAGGAGAGGGGAAAGGGCGGAGGGGGAGAACTTGCCCCACGTGCCCCATGCACCTTACCTGGCCACCGGGCTGCTTTTTTCTGCTTCTTTCTTCTGCTTTTGGCATGCAAGGAACGCAGCAAAAGTCTTTCTTTCTCTCCTCCAAACTCCGCCAGAAATGAGTGTTTGGGACCTTGCAAGGCATCCTGCTCCAAGAGTCTGCGCTGGCACAACAATTCTCACAAAGACTCATTTCTGGCAGAGTTTGGGAGAGAGAAAGACTTCTGCTGCTTCTGCTGCTTTCCTTGCATGAAGCCAAAAGTCTCTCTCTCTCCCCCCCTCCCACCCAAGAACGGAGCTGGAGACGGTATTCTGTGATCCCAAATAAAGAATGATCGATCGGTAGAAAAACAGGGTGGGGAATTTTCCTGCAGACTTTTTTGGGGATTTTCCCAAGGTCTCTGGTCCGTGGGATTTAAAATTATGCGTTTGATGGTCCCTGAGGTCCAAGAAGCTGGCCACCCCTGATCTAGCGCATTCCCAATGAATTATAAGGCACACCTTTAATTTTTTAAACGTGCATTATTTGAAGCAAACTACCCTTCTTTTTTGAATAAAGAAGTTTCACATTCTGGGAGGAAGGCGTTAGCAAACAGCTTTCCGTGATTGATGAGAAAACTACAGAGATAGGTCTGTGTAGTCACCAGTCCCTTCAGTTCAACACAAGGAGTCTTTATCAAAAAAATTTTTAAAAATTCAATATTCAGTAGGTTCACGAGAGCACTCAAACCAGCTTTTTATAACCCGTTGCACTCTTGATACGTTGGACTGCAAATCCTAAAGTTCCTAGCAAGAGCGGCCATATGGGCTGTGAATTTTGGAAGTTGAAGTCCCTCAAATTTAGAAGGGTAGCAGATTGTGGAAACTTTGTTGGTCCGTAACTCGTTTAGCTTCTGACACAGATTCTGGTGTATTTGCGGTAGAGTTTCATGCCTCCGTTTGATGGAAAGGTTTTAAACGATGAAAATTTGTTATCGGCTATATTTAAGCTGTGCTAAACATGTTGAAATTTTTTATTCAATTAGTTTGGGGGAACGGTTTAATCTGAAAACCTCTTACAACAAGAAAAATAAAATTAAAAGAATAAAGCAACGCATTTTATCTTCTTTTTAGCTTGCAGCAGAACTAATATTTTATGCCATTCAAAATATATGGCTGCTATGTAGGAAGCTCCTTAACAACCGTTAATTTGACATTTATATTTTATGTTAGAAGTATAGCCTGTTGTCCTTTAATACAGTCAGTCCTCGACTTACAATAGTGACCGTTCGAAGTTACAACGGAACTGAAAAAAATGACATGAGCATTTTTTCACACTTACAACCATTGTAGCATCCTCATGGTCACATGATTCGGATGCTTGACCACTGGATCATACTTTTGACGGTGATCCTCTTTTACGACCTCCTGACATACAAAGCCAATGGGGAAGCCATATTCACTTATTAACCGTGTTATTAATTTAACAACTACAGCAATTCCCTTAACTGCTGTGGCAAGAAAAGTCGTAAAATGGGGCAAAATTCGCTTAAGAAATGTCTCACTTTGCAACATAAATTCTTTGCTCAATTATGGCCGTAAGGCAAGGACTACCTATGTTTTCCTTGGGTTCTCACTGTTTTGCCTCACCCCGTTGTTAGGAAAAAGTTGCCTGTAGGTAAGCTGGTTTTAGATAGTTATGATAGTTATGATTAGGGGACTGGAGACTAAAACATGATGAATGGTTGCAGGACCTGGGCCTGGCTAGTCTAGTGAAGAGAAGGACCAGGGGAGACATGATAGCAATCTTCCAATATTTGAGGGGTTGCCACAGAGAGGAAGAGGTCAAGCTATTTTCTAAGATACCCGAAGGCCAGACAGGGAATAACGGATGAAAACTGATCCAGGAGAGATTCCACTTGGAAATAAGGAGAAATTTTCTGACAGTGAGAACAATCAACCCATGGAACAGAAATTCCCCTCAGAAGTTGTGGGAGTGCCATCACTTGAGACCTTCAAGAAGAAGAAGAAAACGTTGTTATTATTTTTCAAAAAACCTAAATTAATTCCCATACATACAGCACACACACACACACACACTCCCCAAAATAAAATGTTTTTCGTTTTTCCTCAGGAGGAAGAAGACCCTTTGCCTTCCAAAAAATGGCCGACGGTGGATGCTTCCTACTATGGTGGAAGAGGAGTTGGTGGGATTAAAAGAATGGAGGTCAGTAGCATGGAATTGAACACTGCGGTACGAGATGTGGCATCTCGTATGAGTTGAGGGGAGGGAGACAGTTTCCCATTTCGAAAGGGACATGCTGACAAGCGACCCTGGTGCTGTATTGCCGGATATGAAGCTCAGCCAGAGCCACTGGGCTTCTGATTTGGTAGGGCAGCAGCTGAACCTTCTGAATAGCAAGGTTCGTTTGGTAATGACTGCAAAACATTGTGCGGCTTCCATGGAACCCGATGGGTTTGGAAGGATGCAAAATGTCAAGAGATGGAGCAACCTCTTTGGGGGCTGTTGTATTATTGATTAATGACATAGTTTTATGATTATGAAATCCACAGCCTTGAGGACTTTTGCTAGAAAGCAGCTGTGACTTTGGGTTCTCCTCCAGGAATTGAAGGTGGAGTAGCAATTATCGCACTGCCTGCAAAGCACGATGACCTCATTAGAGCCCCTGGGTGGTCCATTGTTGGTGGTGTTTTTTTTCACGGATGTGAGAATCGGTCCTTACCTGCTCTCTACAGCAACTCTATGCTTGCTGTGCTCTGATGATTCTAATAGTATGAATAAGTAATGATGGCTAACATTATTTCTATTGTTCTAAGACATGGGTTGGCTCAGGAATTCTGGGAGCTGAAATCCTATTTCCCCACCTCTGTTCTAAGATGACTTCAGCATTGCTTCTTCTTTTATAAGTTTCATTTCAGAATCGAAAAGTGCCAATTTGAGGGTCAGGAGACATAGTTTGAAGAAAAGTGTATGAAGAGATCAAATGCTCCTCTTTTCCATAACCGAGTAACCCCTCTTTTATGACCCCATAATCCCTTAATTCAGGGGAGAGTTGAGGGACAGGATGGAGCTTAGCATTTATTGACTGGATGCCTTTCCTAACACCTATGTGGAGTTCACAGCAGATTTTTTTTTTCCTAAATGCCCCAGGAGAAAACCTACTTAGGATTGAACTCTCAACCTTCTGAGTGGCAGGCGAGCATCTTCATCACTAGGCCACCATGCCGCTCCTCCATAATCTAGTACTACTGAATGAGTGTTGTTGGTTGATGTATAAAAGAGCACAGAAAAGACTGTGGTTCTCCATTCAGTCCATTAGCGATATGCAATATGTAAATTTTATCTTTAACTTTAAAAAAGTTAATGGGAGACAGATCAAAGAGAGAACTAAGCTACACAATTGGAATCCTGCCTTATTCAAATATGAGTTGCTGTGGATTATCATTGAGTTATTGCCTTTGTGCCTCATTTATTGATCAAAGCTATTGATGTTATTGATCATTTGTAGAAACTGGATATAGTGACTAGATGAACTTTTGGTTATTCCAGCTTTTCTTAGCATTAAATAGTATCTATAGAAGATTAGAAGTCACTCTTCCTGTGACTCTACTGAAATCAGCTCTTAGCAAGGTATTGATCAAGATCCTGCTAAGCTTTGATATCAGTTTGGCACATTGGTTTTTTTAAAATGGGAATTGAACTATAAGAATGTCCTTGTAGGTTCCCCCTGCCTGATAGAACAATTTTGACTATCTTAGGAAAAACCAATTCCATCATTTCATTAGGGCCCTGAATAACAGAGACTTATTTCGAGCTTTGAATTGCAAAGAAACAATAAGGCTTTTCAAATCGATTTTAGTTACTTTTGGAGACAAAATATATATATATATATATAGCACTGTATGAGTATTCTCACTGTGTGCCAGCCAAGTGATTTTATAAGGGTGATATTTGTACTAGAAACGCAGCTGGAATAGTTTTGAAATGATTCAGTACGCCTAAGTTCATGTAGCAGGCAGAGATAGGCAAGCCATTATCTCTTAGCTTTGGCTTCAACAATGTAGGATAGTATGATGACAGTCAAATTGGGTTAGGTGAGGATCATGAAAGGATGGTTGAATCCCAAAATAACCCCGGGACCCTCAGAATTCGAAAAGAAAAGAATAGAATTCTTTATTCTTTATTGGCCAAGTGTGATTGGACACATAAGGAATTTGTCTTGGTGCAAATGCTCTCAGTGTACATAAAAGAAAAGATACATTCGTCAAGAGTCAAGAATCATCAGGTACAACATTTAATAATAGTCATAGGGTACAATCAGCAATCAAATCATACTAGGAAACAGTCAATATAAATCGTAAGGATACAAGCAACAATGGATTGTCAGTCATACAGTCACAAGTGGGAGGGGATGGGCGATATGGAGTGATGAGAAGGTTAATAGTAATAGTAGTGCAGACTTTGTAATAATTGAACAGTGTTGGGGGGATTATTTGTTTAGCAGAGTGATGGCTTTCGGGAAAAAACTCCTTGTATCTAGTTGTTCTGGTGTGCAGTGCTCTATAGCATCGTTTTGAGGGTAGGAGTTGAAACAGTTTATGTGCGGGATGTGAGGGGTCTGTAACATCAGACCAACAGTCAAGAAGTAAACAATATCCCAATCAAGGAACTGTCAAAAAGCTAACAGTAAACAGCCCAGCCAAGAAACCTACAAGGCCACTCCCTCCAACACTGACAGAGCAAGCCAATATAAACTGAGAGCAAACCCCACACCCTACTGGCACTGATGATGTTACCTAGTTTGATAATGAAATGTCTGCAACAAAACCACCCATCTCTGAGAGCACCAAAGACCCCTCCTTTCAACCTTGAATTACAAATGTTCTTTATTGGTATATTGACTCTGAATGACAAGAAGGGGCCAGTTTCTTGGGTTCAAGTCCATGGCCAGTCTGATACGGAGATTTGTTTTGTTTAGGTTCGTTGGGGTGACAAAGGGTCAACTGAGGAAGGAGCCCGGCTAGAGAAAGCGAAAAACGCAGTGGTGAAACTCCCCGAGGAAGGAGATGAGCCGGTTCTAAATAGACCACCAAGACCAAAGACTACCTCGTTGCCCTCCCAGGAAAAATGGTACACACCCATCAAGGTACTTGGTGAATCCTTTATTATCATTGAATATCAAGTTTGCGTTGTATTTGTTTCATTCATTCATTCATTCATTCATTCATTCATTCATTCATTCATTCTGTGATGACCCGGGGCGTGGCATAAAGGCAACACAGTCAGATAAGCAATAAGAGTCCCTTTATTATCTTCAGTTTTGCCCCCAATGTCCAAATTACCTTCTGGCTGGAGAAAAACCTCTCCCAAGAACAGCCTTTGACTGCAGATAATTAAGTCCAAAACATGAGCAACACAAACTGTAACTTAAAGTCCAAACAAACCAAACTGAAGTAATTAGTTTGGCAGGGCAGAAGCAAGAATTTCAGGCTTGAAGGCACGGCAAAACTCACACAGTTGGGAAGATGCTAGGAACACAGATAAGCCACGACAACACAGGATAAAGTAACTTTTGCTCCCAGCAGTCTGCTGCAGTCAGTCTGCCTTTCTTATCAACTGTCTTCCCAGCTGTGGCTAACAGAGGAAATCAGGGCCCTTTCCTCCCCCATAAGCCATGCAACTCACATTGCTCACTTCTCCGTTCCTCCCTGCATGCCCTAGGATGAAGAGGGAGTGGGCCTGGATCTTCCTCTGAACTCCCCCTCCCTTGTTCTACCTCTCCCCTGCTCTGCCCAGCCAGACTTTGCCCTTCCCCAGCCTCCTCCACAGCCAACGATGCCACACTCCCACTCCCTGTCAACTGTTCGACTTCCTCCTCGATTTAGACTCTGACAGGGGCATGACACGTTCCATGTCTGTGGCCTCCCATCTCAGTCAATTATTCCGTGTGGCTCACAGTTCAGAAATATATCACAATTAAAACACAAGCAGAGGAGAGGAGTTTCGGTTTCAGTTTCACAGCAGCAAGCAGCTTTAGTAGAGAACAGTTGAGCTAAACCACACCCATGCTCCTTGCTATCTCCTTGCTCACACAGCAAATACTGTGTCAGTTTCCATGTTTCAGTTTCCAAACAGCCCTCAACTCTCTCACACACTGACAGGATGCTAGCCAGATGAATACTGATAGATGCTGGTAGGCAGAGGCAGAATTCCCCCCCCCCCATTTTCCTCCCCCAAAAATAAGCCCGACCACATAGTTCTGTAGTGAAGCACGGGTATCGAGCTAGCTGTGACCATTTTTCACTCGTGATTTACATTCAGATGTTCTTCAGCTGACTCACATTTATGACAGTTGCAGAGTCCCGGGGGTCATGGGATCACCTTTTGCAACCTCCTAACATGCAAAGTCATTGGGGAAAACAAATTCACTTAACAGCGGACGTTACTCATTTAACAAATTGCAATGGTTCGCTTAACAAATGTGGCAAGGAAAGTCACAAAACTCATTTAACAAATTTCTCACTTAAACGACATACATTTGGGCTCAATTGTGGTTGTAAGTTGAGGGCTACCTGTATACATATTTGAAAGCATGCCCCATAGAGTCTATGATGACCCAAGGTGGGATACAGAACAAACACAGTCACAGAAAACAGGTGAAGCCCCTTTTATTCCTTCACTTTGCTTCCAAGCTCCAAATATTCTTGATGGAAAACAAAAAACTCCCACACAAACAGTTACAAGAAGAAGGAAAAAAGCAACACAAACCAGACAAGATAAGGGCTGGAGGACGTCCACAGATAACAGAACACACACTGGGAAGGATGCCAAACTCAGATAGGAACCATAAACTAGAGATATTTCCACACTTTGTTTCCAGTGTTCGCCCGTACGCATGTCATCCTCTTATTCAGTTGTCACAGCTGCAGCCCATGAAGAGGATCAAAGCCCTCTCCTCCCAAGTAGACCACGTCTCTCCCTTATCCTCTCCTCCCTGTGTGCCCTAGGATGGAGAGGGGATGGGCCTAGGTCCTTCTCTGACTGCTCAACCAGCCTCTGCCCTTCCCCAAGCCTCCTCCACAACCTCCAGAGAACACCCTTCCACTCCCTGTTGGCTATTCCTCTTCTCCTTCAGAGTCAGTCTCCACCAGGGGCATGACAGAGTCAAGTATTTTGAGTAAACGAGTTTAGGAAGAGCTTAGTCTGTATGTTTTGTATGCCCAGAATTAGGAATTTCCAACTCATTTAACACACCGTTAGGAAGTACTTACTCATGCATCACTGGCTCAATGTCTTCCTATTAAAGAGAATTTATACCTAATAGCATCCCATTTAAAGAGCGGTTGTTGTCCTGTGGTGTCATTTGGCTGGAGAGGATGCCTGAGACATATTCAAGTAGGGTTAATGGGTTTGGGGAAATGGTTCTCACCTCTGCCAAATCACCACAAGTTTTCCTGGGCTTCTCTTTACAGGGTCGGCTTGATGCCCTTTGGGCATTGCTAAGGCGGCAGTATGACCGAGTGTCTTTGATGCGACCGCAGGAAGGAGATGAGGTTAGTGAAGCTTCCTTTAGCACATTGAAGGATGTGCATGACAGCCTCCTTAGCTTCCTGGGAGCGTTTGAGAGGCTTAGTGCAAGGGAAGAAATTTCTAATGGTATAAGAGTTGTATTTATGTACAGATCTTCTCTCCCATGTAGTATGGCTGTATTATTATTATTATCCTTCTCATCTTTTCTACTACGTTCTCCTGTTGGGACCTGTTGATTATATTACCTTGTTGTTTATATGTATACTTGTTTGTATGTGGATGTTGTTTGTATGTTTGTATGTACACTGATTATATTACCGTGTTGTTTGTATGTATGCTGAGAGCTTATGCACTGGAGACAAACTCCTTGTGAGTCCAATGACACTTGGACAGTAAAGCTGTTCTGTCCTGTCCTGTTCTACCCTACCCTACCCTACCTTGCCCTCTACCCTACCATACCTTACCCTACTCCATTCCATTCCATATATTCTATTCTATTCCATTCCATTCCATATATTCTATTCCATCCCTCCCGTCCCATTCCATTCCATTCCATTCCATTCCATTCTATTCTATTCTATTCTATTCTATTCTATTCTATTCTATTCTATTCTATTCTATTCTATTCTATTCTATTCTCTAGTATTAATATTATACCATGAATATGTTGTATGATGTGAAAACTCTTTTTTTTCGGTGGAACATTCACACATTTGAGTATCTAACTAGAGCTCCATATTAGATAGGATGGCTTTCCCCTTCTTCTGCATAGCACACATTATTCAGTTGAGTACTTCCTGTTGTTTTATTACTTGATTGCTTATCTATTGGCCTTGTCGATCACTGCAATGGCAAACAGCTCTGATCAGGCATGATGAAAATGGCATTAACAGTGTAGTGTGTTTGGAAAGCAAGAGATTGGGAATAGGAAATGTAAGATGCTATCTGGTGAAGAGAAGGAATAGGTATCTATAACTGTGGTGTAAATTATAAACTAGCCTTAGTTTTGTTCCTACAACATCCAATGCTATCATTTAAGCTTCCTCTTCTGCCCCACGCTTCAAGCATCAGTGGTAGTTTATTGTATAGTGCAGGGGCTTCCAAACTTGACAACTTTAAGACTTGTGCATTTCAACTCCCAGAATTCCTCATGGGTGACTGAGGAATTCTGGGAGTTGAAGTCTGCAAGTCTTAAAGTTGCCATGGTTGGACACCCCTGACCTAGTGCTTTGAAATCTAGGAAGTATCCTCTGGGTTCTAGCTTGAGCTACAAATATTCTATTCTATTGGAACTTTGTATGACAACCTTTTTCAACCTTGTGCCCTTTAGCTACTTTGAGTTTGCAACCTTTAGAGCAGGGGTGGGCAAACTTTTTGGCTCGGGGGGCCGCATTCACTTTTAAAATTTGACAGACGGGCCGGGTCAGCACAAGATTTTTTGGGAATCTTCCCCCCTTCTTCTCCTCCTTCCCCTCCCCTCGGAGGCCCCCTGAGTCAGGAGTTGCTACTGCCGGCACGGCTCCATGCGGCTCCAGTCCCACGTTGCCTCGGGAAGGGAAAGGCAAAAAGGAAGAGCCGCGGCGGTGCTTTGCAACAGCAGCAGCGGCACCGGAGGTTCAGGCTCAGCGGCTCCTGGTTTTGCCTTTCCCTTCCCAAGGCAACGCGGGACTGGAGCCGCGCGGAGCTGCGCCGGCGGTAGCAACTCCTGACAGCCCCAGCCGGACACCTGAGCAGAGCCCGGGCAGAACTACCTGTTGCTGCTGCGGGCGCTGCTGCGGGTGTCTGGCTGCCCAAGTAAAGAACCGCACCAGCTCAGGGCAACTGTGAGGAGCAAGAGGGGAGAGGCAGAGAAGGAGGCAAAGAAGGAGGAGAGCACCTGGCCAGTTGGGGGAGGCTTCTTGTGCTGCCAAAGAGGCGGCTAATGATCTCCGGCTCCACTCTGCTTCTCCAACATCCGGCGCTGCCCTGTTCTGTGCGCCGGCTGCTCGGACTTGCTGGGCCTGACACAGAACAGGGTGGCGCCGGATGTTGGAGAAGCAGAGCGGAGCCGGAGATCATTAGCCGCCTCTTTTGCAGCACAAGAAGAACAGGGTGGTGCCGGACCATTGGAGAAACGGAGCAAAGCCGGAGATTAGTAGCTGCCTCTTTCGGCGCAGAAAGCTTCCCCCAACCAGCCGGCTGGTCTCTTCCTCCTCGGCCATACAAAACAAACAGACAGAG